AAAACCAAGAACAAACAGCAGATAATTCCTGAGAACAAAAAGTGCACATCCATGGACCCACAACCTGTGGCAGCCTCGTCCTTTTCCACCAGAGCCTCTGCCTGGATGTCTTGTCTCTGTGTGTCACTTGCTAGAGGAGTCTGGCTCTGCTGGGCGGAGATGCTACATTGCTCTCACCAGCACAGGGGGAGACAGTGAGTTTCACTCAATACCTGACTTTGAGCAATGCACACTGACGAAGGCTAGGGGGAGATGCTGGAGAGCCAACACGCTTAGCACCTAGGAGGGTGGTCCTAAAACAAGAGCTAGGACGCTGCCCTCAGGATGCAGTAAGAACCGCTTGGAAATAACGTAGCACTAAGTTTCCCCCCAGAGGAGAGTAGTTCTCAAGGGACCTGGATATCAAGACTGGGAATCCTCTGGCAAAGTACTAGTAATCACATAGTCAGAGTACTGATAATACCTTGACGTGGTACTGAAATTTATATAGATGGGGATTAGGAATGGCTGTAAACTGCTTTATTAGTCACAGAACCATCTCCCAAGGAGCTGTTGCGAGCACCCCTAAGTCCACAGTACAGTCTAGTTCACTGGGGAGATTCTGCTCCCTGTAGCCACCAATTCATTTGCCCCTCTGTGCTCTAAAGAAGGGCAGGGCCTTCCTAGACTCTAGCTTGCAACAAATCCACAATCATCATGGCTCTAATGAGCCTCCCAGAGCCCAGAGACTGGATGTTCTTGGCCGATGCCAGAGACACGAAGAGGCCAATTTGGCCACCAGAGGCCTGAGGTGGGCTGTCACCACCAAGGACCTGAGGACCTGAATGAGCCAGAACAATCTTCACAGACATGGAGCCCTCCCTGGGCTACAAGGATCCTGGATTCACAGAGCAGCTATCCGAAGTGAAAATCCCCTGATGAGAGTGGTTGGGCAAGCGTGGAGAAAGACAAGACCTGGATTTGCTGTGAACATCTACAGGCATATTTAATCTCATTCCCATGTAGGATAAACTCTGAGCTCCTCTGATAACCTTAAATGCAAGAGGACTGGCTGGCCCTTTTGAAGCTAACACTTGTGCACAGCATCAAAGCCACTGGTATCACCAAGGCGTCCAACATCACAGCCAAAGCCTGAAAGAAACAACGGCTGACATAAACGGATTTGAACGTAGTACCCGTTTCTTATCATCTGAACCAAGCCAACTCCCTGAATCAAAGCTGTTTGCCAAGCCTGCCCCACCCCTTGGGAATACTATTCTTCAGAAAGCAATGGCTTGTGCATCGCAGCCTAACTCAGCAAACACGCCACTGAAGCCGCAGACACAGGTAAAAGCCATCCACTAGACCCAAACCAGTTCCTTTTTATCTGAATTCCTCATGTGATTTTGCCTTTTTATAGGCAAGTCCAGAGATCGTGCTGGCTGAGGACACTAGGACAGTAAGACATGTCCCCTGAGCCTGTCCTAGAAAGAAAGAAAATGCCTCTATGGAGAGCTGGCCCAAGCTCTGACACACAGCACAGGTACGCTGTGAAGTCTGGATGGGATGGATGGACAGCCATTTAAACCTTAGGTCCCTCGGGTGAATCTAAAAGTCCTTTCATGTGGCTGTGGAGTAGCATGTCAGCGAAGTGCCTGCTGTTTATGTAAACATGGGGGCCTGAGCAGTCATGTAAAAGCTGGGAGCTGTGGCACACATCTGTAACCACAGCGCTGGGGGCGGGGAAGTGAGTGAATCCTTGAAGCTCATCTGCCTACCAGCCTAGCAGGGGCCGTGTGCTTTCTCAAAAAAAAAAAAAAAAGAAAGAAAGAAAGAAAGAGAATAGAAAAGAAAAAGATATCCAAAGTTGAACCTCCACATGTGTGAGTATGAGCACATGCGGGCATGCTCGTACACACACACACACACACACACACACACACACACACACACACACACACGTACACACACGTTCATACACTACACACAATTCCTTAAAAGTCACAATCTGAAAATCACATCCAGGAACAAGCTAATGTGAACTGGCATCTCCAGACACAGGCACTCTGGGGCGCGCCCTTCCCACACTTCAGTAGGTGCCAGTGCCCTGGTTTCCCACTGCCACCCCTGGCCCACTCCTCCCCAGGCTCAGCAGCAACACAATGGTGGCTCTGCCTGCATAGAAGGCATCTGCCACGGCTATTGCCCTCACTGAGACTCAAGCAAGTCGTCACAACGGCTGTGCCATTTCCCACAGCAACATCCAGTTGGAGCCTGCGGCTAAAACCGCGGAACCCTGTCCACTGTTCTTATTAGCGCCACAAATGTAATTTCTTCAGTTGTACCAAGAATTCAGTGTCACTCTTGACCTATGCCGTGGAGCTAACTGGAGTACCCTGAGCAGGACAGGGAGCGCACACCACAGAAAAGAACAAACGAGATCCCCAGATGAAATTGAAAGTATGAGGGAGGCACCGTACCCAGGATGGGGTGGGGGCGGGGATTCACCCCGGGGGAACTCTTCAGGCAGACCAAATCTAGGGGACACATGGGAACACAGCCTTCCAGGGGCACCTCCAGGTCCCTGCTGCCTGTTGCTTGTCCACTAAGAGCATCTGTGGGGAGGGAGTCTGGCTTCTTCGCGGTGATGGTCAAATCACCCCACATTTCCTCTCCACCTGAGCTCCCAGCTGCCTGGAGCAGCCATTAGTGAGTTTATGGAAATCCACTAAAAGGGACCAGGAAACATATTTTAGGTGAAACAAAACAGTGGGTAAAGGAGAAGGTCAACCCCCAGGATGGGGTGGTGTTTGTTTGTGTTAGCTCACAGGAATTTCATGACCACGAGACAGAGACCATAGGCTCACGGGCCAGTAGGCTCCTGTCAGTGCTCCTAAGCAGAGGAAAACAACATCACCCGCCTTCCAGGGCCCGTGACGCGGGCAGGCTGCGACGGGCAGACAGCCAGCTGTGTGCCACCAGAAATACCCAACCAAAAAACATAACATGGGGACAAATTTCAAGTTTAGAGGCAGTTTACTATTTCCCTGAAAAAGAAAGGCATGCAGTCAGTTTTGAACTGTGTCCCCGTAGTTTTAACTTGGACTCTTGGCTCCCAGTACCCCAGAGGGTGACTGATCCAGAGAAAGTACCTTTAAAGGTGACCAAGGTGGTATCACTAGCGTGAACCCACATCCAGGTCTGGGGAGTTAAAGGAAGGCAGAGGAATGACCATGGAACACAGGGGGAGAGGATAGCGATTTGGAAGCCAAGGAAGGAGTCGCAGGAGGAGCCCGCTGACCACACACACATTCACCTTGGGCTTCCAGCCCCTGGGAGAGAGCAGACACCTGGTGGAAAAGCAACCAGTCTACGGTTCCTGTCACTCCAGCCCCAGTATGCCACCCACGTGCTTACCTGAATCTTAATTTTACAAGGCTCTTACTGCTATGGCTTCAGTTATATTTTAGGACATCCCTCTTCCCTTGATCTCAGGAGTCCCACTGAGTCTCAGTGAGTGACAATGGCCTTCACTGTCCACGAACCACAAACAAATCGTGTAATGCTGATGGCTGTGAGCTGAGAGACTGAGAGGTTGAGAGGCCAGTGTTGAAATATTCTTGGTTTTAGTTAAACACGGTGATGGTACAGTAGGCCCGACAATTGTTTGTGTATTTTAGCTTCCAGTATTTTAGATAAATCTCGACAGGTCCTGATGACATAGCTTGAACTGCCAGCCCTTTGAGCCCCTCGGACAGAGAGAGGGACAGCGGACAGACTGACAGAGGCCTGTATCCTGCAAGACAGGAAACAGCTCTGCTCCACCCTCCTGCCCTCAGCTCACATTCTGTGCCCAGCACAGGCTCATCTCACATTAGTCTTCCTCCCCGCTGCTGCCCCTTACAGAAGCGTCCAGTAGTATCATTCACAGCCGGTCACTACATCCCCTGGAGTGGCCCCAGTCCCACATGGCCATGTGGCTGCACTGTGTGACAAGAACCCCAAAACTCCAACTGAATTCTGGAGCTACTGGCCTCATAGTCACTAGAGATCAGGGCACCAAATACTAGGTGGCCGCGCCCCACGTAGGCCTGAGTCTGCCCTGCAGAGACAGAGATGGAAGGGAGGCAAAAAGGAAGCGCCAGGCCTTAGACAGCCCCTGCTCCATGACGGCCTGGATCAGAGGTGCCTCAGCGCGTGGAAGTGGTCCAGAGTCCGGTGTCACATGTGCTTTCAACAGCCTGAGTAGATGCTTTAATGCCTCGTGTGAAAACCCTGGAGCAGAAAGCAGCCTGCCAGGCGTCACAAGGGGCACACCTGTCCAGAAAGCTGTTTACTTCAAAATAAAAGCCCTGAGCTGGTTAAATGGACCTGGTAAATGGCAAACAGCCCTATACATCCTGTTTAAAAGAAAAACCAACAACTTAAGACCGGAGTTTTGTAACACGCTCCAGCTCCCTGTTGAGCAGACTGCCAGCAAGCATGTACTGGTCTCCTGGGAGGCGGTGGCAGGGTTGGTGCTGGAACCCTAGTGAGCTGGCTGCTCTGGGGGACCGTGGAGCTGAGAGCCCATCTGCGCCAGCATGGCGACAGCAATTAAGGCAGAGAAAGGAAGTTGGTAGGCAGGCAGAACACACAGGGGGGTGACTGCCTCGCTGGGCTTACTCAAAATACAACTGTGGGTGTCTGATGACCCTCAGTCTGAGCAGAACGGCAGCCACAGAATTCTAGTGCTGGCCCTGGCACCTGTGAACGTGACCTCCAAAAAAATTAGTGTCTGTGAAGCAATACTCTTGGGGGTCCCCTAATCTAGTTTGAGGTGTCCTTAGAAAAGGAACAGGCAGACAGAGATGGCCTATAGGGAGCTACCACCAGAGAAGACAAGGGGGTAGGGACAATGCTACATGTACCAGCATACCATATCTCTACAGAGAAGCCAGGGCAATACTCTCCTCTTCCCCAGCCACATCTCCTCCTGCACGCCCCCAAACACAGTTCAGCTCCAACTGGAGGCTGCTTACCTCATGTATGATGTAGGGGACAGAGACTTGGGCTTTGCCCACTGGTACGGGGCCTGTGGCACCGACAGATACTGCTCACAAAAGGCACCCTTGCGAAGGTGCTGGAAGGCGAACTCCTCGGGCTGGAAGTCAGAGGTGGGCGGGGTGGTGCCCAGGTCTTCCCCGGCTGGCTCTACCTTGAGGGCCACTGAGGGTACGTGCTCCAGGGCTGTCTTTCGAGACTTGATAGGGACGCCATCACCCAGGTCCAGGGTGCTGTCAGTGGTCAGGGCGTTGATGGCCGCCACGATGGCAGAGCTGGTATACTGGGTGGTGTTCCCGAGCCAGGTGTCCTCGGTCACGCTGACCCGAGGGGAGCCATGCGGGGACGGTGTGGGCGAGTGGTGGGGTGAGCAGGAGGGCTGCCGGCCGTTGAGGCTGTACTTGCGTTTGTTGCAGGGGGATGTGGGCCGGGAGCCACGGGCACCCAGCCAGCTCTCCTCCGTGACACTGGCGCGTGGAGAGGTGGATGGGGAGTGTCTTGGAGACCCCAGAAGGTGGCAGGCACCCAGGCCTCGGGGAAAGGGCTCCTCTGGGTCCGTGGTCTTGGGAGACACGCAGGGGGACTGCCACGGAGAGGTCTGGGGGGACGCGTACGGGTACGAGTAGTTGGACTCGTAGGAGGAGGCCTCGGAATTACAACTCCTGGAGGACAGGCTGCTGGCTGGGCTCAGGCAGGAGGGGTCTCTGTAGGCTTCCAGGCTGGGCAGGTGCAGGGTGGCCGTGGATGGTGACCGCTTGCAGCTGGGAAGCACGTCTTCCACCTCCACGTCGTGGAAGAACTGGCTGCCGCCATGGTGGAGGCCCAGGTAGGAAGTGATCTCAATTCGGGGACTCTCCAGAGTCGGGGCCCCGTTGGGCCGGGTGTTTCCAGAGGACAGAAAGTACCCCGAGGGCCCACTGTCCACAGCCCCTCCATAACTCGCGGGATGATTTGCTGAAGGAACAGCTGAGATGCCCGGGGTGGATGTCTGGAGGTCATGGCATGGGGCTGGCAGGGAGGTGTGCGCTGTGGGAAGGGGCAGAGTCGAGGTGATGCCAGGGGATGCATAACTGTAGTGTTCTGGAAGAAACGAGAAAGAGAAGAGATGAGGCCAGTGAGCAGCCTCAGAAACTCACAAAGGCAAGACCTGGGGCATCCCCCCCGAGGACTCCAGGCCCCAGGAGTAGCCTCTGGAAGCATCCTGAGGTCAGGCTGCCACGAGGACTCCAAGGCCTCCTGCTTGACTCTAGACCTCACTCTATTCCAGCACAACAGCCTTCCTCGGCCAGAAGTCCTCTGCCAAATGCCGCACAGCTGTCCCTTACTGTCCTTGCTATTTAAACTCCGCATTCCGTAGCCACCGTAATGATCTTATATCCTAATCCAATAGCTGAGTTATCTTCTCCAATTTATCCCTCCCCCAGATCCTCTCTCTGGCGTGCATCACAAGCTAACATACATTTTTATCCTCCCATCCCTCTGACCAGTAGAAGCCATGCTCCAGCCTTCTGGTTCACGGCTGTCTGCAGAGCCTTGGACTGGTAATTCTAGCATTTCAGAGGCTGGGCAAGGCAGGGGGGTGTGAGTTCCAAGCCAGGTGTTCACTGTACTTCACGGATGGCCGTGCATGAGTGGCAGATGACGGACAGAAAGATGGACAGTGGCTGGGCAGACTGTGGAGGGAGGGAGGAAGAATGGCAGGTGTATAGGTCATCAGAGTTATGTGCTTTAGACACAGGGACTCGGACATCTAAGCAGGTGTTTACTGGAAAATCGCTACCCAGCAGCCCACATGCTTGACTGCGAAAAGCACACTCAAAGGATGGATGCGAATGTGAATTCTGAAGTCTCTCTCTGCTACCGAGGCTGGCTGGTACCTAGATATCTATCTTCCAGAGCTTCTTAAACAAAACAGACGGTTCTAAGGCACGGCTAGATCTCGGAGCCATTATGTGCTAATTATATCTTGATAAACACTTTTTTTAAAAAAATCATTATTCTAATTAGCACTCGACAGGAAAGGCTTGCTTCTGGATTTCTCGTCAGAAAGGGCTCTCGGCATCCCAAAGTCACTCACATTTGTCTGGAGACGAGCGTTTCCAGGTCTCTGAATCATGGGAATCAGCACAAGGAAGTCCTAGCTCCACGCCGGGCTTCCGTGCCTGCCTGGGAGACAGCGTGCTCAGGGAAGGCACAGCTCGCTGTTAATCCCTGGTTCAGAAACCAGCAGGGAAAAACTACAGCAAAGCTAGGGTCTCGGAGCACCAGCCAAACCCTAGGATATTTCCGAGGAGGAACAAGCCAGGCCTCAGGTAGGTTAGAAAATTTCCATCATTGCTTGCTGCAGTCTTCTCTCATTAGTGGGGAGCTCACAATCCCTCCAGCCACACAGCGGCCCCTTTATGAGGTAGGCAAGGGTCCCACTCCGGAGTCCAGCAAGAGGACACATTGTAGTCCTCAATCCCTAGGTCACCGTGGCCCTCTGGAAAGACCAGAGCTGAGACAAAGAGGAACAAGGGACAGCTGGAGGAATCAGAAGCAACCGAAACAGGAAGCTGCCTTTGTGCCAGGTGGACCCTGCAGCCAAGGCCGTGGTTGGAGGGTCCTTGCTATGCTGCCCTTCAGAACGCCACACCTCAAGAAGCTGGAGCCTACCGCTGAAAAGGACACTGTTCTAAATTACTCTAAAGTCACTCTCTAGAGAAGGCAACGCTTCTGAAGAGACAGAACTGATGGCTAGTGCTGTCTGGTCTCAGAGTAGGCCTTTGCTGAGTTCCTAAGCTCAGGCTGACTTCATAAGCACTGGACAAGACTGCAGAGCTGTCCACTGTCATTAAACTCCCCTTCATGTCCAACTGTGTATCCCAGCCTTGGATAGAGGCAGGCCACCCCCAGCACCCCAAGTACAGCCATGGGGAAGACTGATGGGGGTGGACACGGACTGTCCATGGTACATAATGAGAAAGAACACTAGTCCCAAAGAACCCAGTAGGTATGAGATGAGCAAGTGGGAAAATCAGGCCTAAGACCAAAGGCTGGCTGGTGAAACAGACAGACGACCTGGCTACTCTGTGAGGTCACCAACAGGCAAGTCTGGAGCAGGCTACCAGCGACCCTATGCGGGAGCAGCGCTGCCTATGTCCAAACGCCTGCTTCTCTTTTGTTATTGCCAGAGGCTGTCTGAAGAGTCATCTCGGCAAAAGAAGGAGAAAGGCAAAAATGGGGGGGGGGAGGCACAGGGAGGAGGGGTTCTCTATGCTTCCTATGCTTTGCTGTCGCACACAGGTGGGAGACACATGGAAAGATGGTGCTGCAGAGATCTCCCTCCGCTGGCGCAGCATTTCCCAATCTGGAACTCTCAACAGAAAAGCACAGTCAGTGTCCAGTGTCTGGCCATGGTTCAGAAGCCGTGGCCAGAATCTGCCCATCTTCAGGTAAGAATTCAGGTCTGAACTAGTCCACCAAAGCCAGGAGTGTAAGGCGGAGACCCCAAAGTGTCGCCGTGCCATTGCTAACTAGAATACTGAGGGAAGGAAGAAGGAAACTATAGTCTAACACGGTGGGCGCTTTGGTAACTGATTTCAACAAAACTTTCACTAGTGTTGGGGACTTGCAGTCACTTAAACTGGAACTAATGTCTGCCTCTCTTTCCTCAGTTCACCTCTAAACTAGGATTTCTGGGTTGGTGCTCCCTGGTGGACGGCATCCTCAGAAACATGCCCCCCTTCAGGAAGTTTCTCTGACGGTCATCACTTCGCTCCTCTGGTCATCTCCCAAGGTCTTCAGAAATTATAGACTCCGTTCCACCACAGATGGGTGACCCCTTCATGACCCCACCTGCTCATCACTCAAAGGGCCCCTGAAGATGAGGTCATCTGTGCTCTGTCCTCCAACCTTCTGAGCAGTGGTACCACCAGGGTCCAAGCAGGCATGGGGAGCAGCATGGCAAGGCAAGTTTTTGCCAGAGGCGCCACTTCTGATAAAAGGCGCACATCCTAAGAACAGTGGCGACCGCACTGATGGGGGTGCCATGGCTGCCCAAACAGCACCCAGGTGAGCTGACGTCACAGGCCCAGCCCTGAGCAGGCAGCTAATCAGCTTGGGAAGCCAAGTCTTGCCAATATTGTGCTGCCACATTTGTCTAGAGCCTTCTGCAAAGCGGAAGCCTGTCAGTCACCTAACACTCAAGAGGAATGGGCTTTCAAGACTGGAGGGATGGCTTGGTGGTTGGGAATACTTGTTGCTCTTGCAGAAGACCTGGGTTCAATTCCCATCTCTCACATGGTGGTTTACAACTACCTGGAACTCTAGTTCCCAGAAGTTCCCCTGGAACTTCTAGATGCCCAATTCTGACCTCAGCTGGCAACAAACACACATGTGGTGCACATCTATACGTGTAGGCAAAATACACATAAAATAAAATAAAATAAGTAAATGTTAAAAAAAAAGAAAAAGAACTGGTTTTCATCTTAAAGGAAGCCAGCTCTGGAAGACTAGGCAGTATGAGCCTGAGGCTAATGGGAAACACTGGCGTCCAAGCAGCTGTGTATATGCTGGGAAAGCTGAGCTCAGGGCTTGCCCAGTTCTCCATACAGAGGTGTGGCTTGAAGACAGTCTTGCGCTGCAAGACCCCGAAGGTGGCACACCTGCGATTGTGCGAGACTTGGCTCTCGTGTTCTCCGCCTCCCAAGTGAAAGGATCCTATGTACTACAGATCGGGGCTGGCCCCACAGCTGACCACCTTCTTTCAGTGGGAAGGGGAAATTGGAAGGCTTCTCTGGAGACTCTCAGCAATGGGCTCTCCTCAGTCCCGCCCTGACACCCCGCAGTATACGAAGCCAGGGCTTCAGCTGCCTGTGGAACTGGAAGATTCCAGAAGACATGGCCGGCGGCAGGGAGAAGACAAACGGCATGGCGGATCTCTGCTTGTCTCCTTGGGGCTGCCCTAGCAACAGGTTTTCTAAGGCCCCAAGAAGGAGGAAGAAGGAGGTTTTTCTCACTCTGGGCCCAGATGCAGAGGAAGAGGAAGTTGTGGAACGTGGCACATAGGCCCCAGGACATTACAAGAGGGGCCTTTACTTAAACCAGAATGTTTAATAAAATAGTATTCAACAGGGCAAAATAAAATCCATAAAACATTAATTTTTTAAAAAACAGAACAGGTTAGGGAGACAGCTCACCAAGTAAATACTTGCTTGGCATTGGAGGAACCTTGGCCACAATACCTAGCACCACATTAACCAGGCTCACCTGTGAGCCCAGCGCTCGGGACGGGGAGGCAGAGGATCATGAATTAGAGGCTATCCTGGCTACACAGTGAATTAGAGACTAGCATGGGGTTATGTGTGCCCCTTTCTCAAAAACATATTAAAAACAAAACTAACTAACCTACACATGAATTTTCTTGGTCAAACTCCAGGATGGAAGCTTAAATGCCTGTTTGTGAGAGGTGTGTCTGCCTCTCAGAGTCCTCTGGAGCGAGCATGCCCACTGACTCCAGGGCGGGCGACTGACTTCAGCTGAGCTTCCTCCTGAGCCTGTGGGGGCAGGGCTAGCCCTTCACTTGCACTAACTTCCAGCTATACATACAAAGGGGTTGCTTTGTAGAGTCGATAGGGAATGCCAAGCTTCCCAGTAGTTCCCTCACCAACCCTGAGATGTTGGTGCGATTATGTAACATCAGACACTGCTGTGCCTGGCAGCCTGGCTTTTGCCGACCGGGTCACTAAGTGGAGGTGCAGGGACCACAGAAGAGCAGCACAGTCGAAAGCAAAGAGTTCTCGCAGCTCACCCTCTACTCTGCCACGCAACAACACGTATTGAAGGCACAGCCGTCCTCTGCAGGGGCCACAGGTCATCGGGCCCTGCCTCATTTCTCTCAGTCACCCTGCTGCGCACAGAAATCCATGTGGACACGATGGGGTGCAGGCAACACTGGGCAAACCCAGAGTTGTTCGGTTGGCCAGCTCCTACCGGCCTCAGCAAACCAACAAGCCAGTACTGACCAAAATACTCTGGATCCTGAGGGAGAATTTACTTCAACTGTATCAAGGCACTGCTTCTGAAGAGTACACACCATG